TGCCAAATGGCGCCTTAAATGTCTTTCAAAAGTATCTTTGAAAGTAAATAGGTGTTGCTCATGATAACTTAGGTGCTACTTGATGTACAGAAGAAGTAATTTTGTAACTACTAGTTTCATCACTTGTTGCCTATAAAATGGTTGTAGGTAACCATGCTATGTATAGCTGGTTACTCCCAAGTCCTGGACTAAATACACTTCATTAGCCATTAAATGTATCTTGCCTGCTCTTCTCATGAATCTTCAACTCTCCTGAAAACAGAATATCTCATTGGTTTCAGTGGACGCTCAGAGTGGCAGGGACTTTCTATCAGATAATTGGCGAGAAGCCCAGTAATCTGTGAAATTATTACATGTGTATAATGGATGCTGAGAAAAGCCATTTACATCTGTAGCACCTGTACAGAACAACCTGTACAGACTGACAACAATGTTAACGGTTCAGTCGCTAAGCATCATGAGGGGTGAGTCCACAGTCCAGTGGTAGACACAGTGGCAGTGGCTGGAAAACTGTTGGGGTTTTTGAAAGTAAGATCTTAGGTGTTATTCAGAAAGTAACATGCTACGTTTAGTTATTATACTTACAGTTGAAGATGGAGAAGTTATTATATTAGTTATTATACTTTATAGCTGAAGATGGAGAAGTGGCCAAAAATCCTGCCAAACGATTTCTAAAAGCTATCATTTTAGAAGTAATAAATAAACATCACTCACCATCCTGCAGAAGTAATGGTGTTACCAGTTGGCACGTTATCTTTCTAAAGTAGCTAAGCTTGGAAACTACTTGGAAACTAAAGTACTGTATTAAAGGTAGGATTGTTACTAGTTGTACATTACTTCTAAGCAGTGTGTGTAGGGGAGGAAAACCTTGTGCTTTATAAATCCCAGGTTGACTTTCTTGGCATTTCCAATAAAGATGACCTCTGGTAGCAATTTTAGGAAAGCGTAATGAGACAGTAGCAGCCTGTGTACTCAATGCTAGACTGCTTGGACCAGTACTCTAATAAGGTAGTTTCATATGCTCATATACAGTATATTTTTTCTGTTAGGTTTTTGGCCTGTTGCGTTTTTCTTCATCTGCACAATTTGATTCGCGCTCTGGAATGAATAACAACCATTACTGCAACCTAAGAAGCACTGTGGCCCTAATGCAACTAAATCTAATTTTGATTAATAGAATTACAGATGCCTTTTAAATGCTTTAAATTGTCCTGAGAGAGAAATGCTATCAAATAGACAGCAAAGAATGCCAAATGTGTTTTAAAATTTGCTGCATAGATTTCCTCTTATTATTTTAATAGATTTCCAAATGTTCCAAATGTATTTAATACTCCTCAACAAAGCACTCAGGTATGTGGAATATGCAGCATTGAGCAGCGCCCACCGGCCAGCTGCAGAAGGAATGTTCCCTTTTTTATTTTTAATGGAAATTGTCTAGGCAATTGTTGTCTTTAAGAAGCAGTGCCTTGTTTGGGAAACTGGAGGGAAGAATGCAATGCCTTTTTTTCCCTCCCTCTGACCATTCTAACCTGGCTAGGAATCTGGGACACAAAGCAACACATATGGTCTGGAGCAGCCTTCTCCAGTTCCAGTGCCCTCCAGATGTGTAAGACTGTAACGCAAAACTGTCCCTGATCATGGACCACACATGAAGCTATTGAGATGGTTTGCCGTGGATCTAGAGGAAGAATTTGGCAGCCTGAGCTTCTGGTACTCCAAGCCCTGGAAGTCTTCTCAGGGGTGGAAGTAGCTCAACTGCTCCACTGATGGTAGAGGGTGGAAAGCTCAACATGCTTGGCTGAACTTAGCACCCACTTAGAGCTTGTAACAAAATGGGGAAAGGCCAGTATTAGGCCATTTCCTTCTCTCCCTACCGATTATCATGACAAACCGCAGAAGCCTGTGCTGCAGGGTCAGAAGACCAGCAGTCGTAAGATCGAATCCACGCGACGGAGTGAGCGCCCGTTGCTTGTCCCAGCTCCCGCCAGCCTGGCGGTTCGAAAGCATGCAAATGCAAGTAGATAAATAGGGACCACCTCGGTGGGAAGGTAACAGCGTTCTGTGTCTAAGTCGCACTGGCCATGGGACCACGGAAGATTGTCTTCGGACAAAACGCTGGCTCTATGGCTTGGAAACGGGGATGAGCACCGCCCCCTAGAGTCGAACACGACTGGACAAAAATTGTGAAGGGGAACCTTTACCTTTACCTTTACCTGCCTATATGACTGCAGGCTACTGGCTCTGCACTACTTTCATGTCATCAGAGAATAACCTGGGGAACAGAAAACAGCACATGCGTGCAATCCGCACTTAAAACAGGTTTGGAAAGGGGAGGGTTCCTGTATCTTTCCTCCTGGTTTTCTCTTTAAGAGAGTATCTGGAAAGGACAGAAACTGTCTCATACCCCACAGTTCCCCACCCCACCCAGTTAGGCACAGAGGATGCTGAATGGAGGGCATATCTTTAACTTTAAAAGGGCTGTTTGGAAGGGTAAGGGGTCTCCTGCCTTACAGAAAGTACATCTTACAGATACGGGTGGTAGCATCTACTCTGTGCCGACGGAGCATTTGGCGAAGAAACATCAGCCAGGTAATGGTTATATACAGCCTTGTTTGCTGTATCAAGAATGGGCTTGCAAAGCAGATTTCAGTTCATTGGCAATATCTGTACGCCTGGGGTGCAGGCCCTCCAGGTTGGAGGATAGAACTATGGTGCTGTTCCAGTTCATTGCACAGAAGTATAAAACTTGGCAGGATGATGGAAGTGATTATCCTGCAGCTCCCTAATAGCTCTTTCCGTACAAGTCTAATTTATTTTTAATGACACGTAGAAAATCCCTCATAGGAGAATGTTCTTTTTCCTCTTTCAGCATTATTGGTAGGAGCTTTTTCTTGCTAGTGGTTTTTCCTTCCCACCGTAGCTTCAGTTACACAATCTGTCCCTCCACTGAGCTGCATAATGTCAAGTGAAAGAGATTACGAGGCAGCAACGCAATGCTAGATAAACAGATATACAACGCTGAACACCTGCAGCCCCAAATGCACCTTGCCAGTTTAAATCCGTATGTGAAAGAGAGCTTGCACATGTGTACAAACACAATCTCTTTGGTTTCTCTAGCTCACCATTTCTCCATATCCACCAACTCAGCTCTTTGGCCCTACTGAGATTTTCCCTTAATACATCTTTCTCCTTAGCCCAGGAGTGGGGGACATGGGGCTTTGAAGATGTTGATGGAACTGCTATCCCTGTCTTCCCTCGCCAGTGATCATAGTTGCTAAGGGATGATAAGGGATGATGTTTTGAGTCATGCAGCACATGGAGAGCCACAGGTTCACCAGCTCTGACTTTGTTTTTCAGGGCCACACATTCCCATTCCTCTTTCTCCCCTGGCCTTCTTGGACATTCCTACTCCTCCTGTTCAGCTATTCTAAGTGCTGACTCAGTCTGTTAGTCTCCAGCCTTATCTTCTGTATCTTCCGTTTTCTTTCTCCCATCTCCCCTCTTTCTAATTCTAATACTAAATATGCCTCCCAACTAAACAAAAAACAACAACAAAAAACTTTGTCCTTTCATTTTCCTCACAGAAGCAGCACTGTTTGATGACATTCTATAGCTCAAGATTTCCGTGCTGAATAGTTGGAATGTCTGCAAAACAAACTAACAAGCATATAAACATAAAATCACAGCAGGTCAGGCAGTGGTTAGGAAGGCCACAGGAAGGAAACAAGGATGATAACTGTTACTACAACAAAATGTCCTGGAAACTGTAGGTTTGTATCATTGGCAAGAAACTTCCCATTTCACTTATTCGTGACATTATTTTTCCCAAGGGTTTCTCAGAGGGAAAACATGATAGTTAAGTGAATTTACAGTCATAATGCAAACATGCCTTTTCCTTTCTGGCACCACTGCGAGGGCTGGTTCTGACATGATACTACTTTTTCTTCAGAGTAATACTTTGAAATGATTCTTTTGGAAGCATCCAGATGAAATGCATTGCATCAGAAGCAAAAGCAGTCATTCTGTTGATGTTAGAGGATAAGAGCTATAAGCAAAGTATTAGATTCTTTGTTGGCTGCTGCTCACAAATCTTTCCTGAACTATACTTTCTGTACTGTGTCTTGCTTTTAATCTGTTGCAGAAATCTTTCTAAAAGGACACTCAAAACGATATACGTGCAATCATGAAGGAAAACAGATTGTACAGTATAGCGCAGTGGTTCCCAGCTTTGGGTCCCCTAGGTGTTCTTGAACTACAACTCCCAGATAACCTGGCCAGCACAGCTGGTGGTGAAGGCTTTGGGGAGTTTTAGTGCAAGGTCACCTGGGGACCCAAGGTTGAAAACCACTAGTATATATAGTTGGCTATATAACTGGTTATACATTTATTATTATAGTTGGCTTTGTATGTGATCAGCTCAGGTTAACATCTATGGTAGGATCTCTGCAGTGCAGAGCTGCTAGTTCTGGGTTGTACATATTGTTTTCAAGGCCATGTTTACTTCCTGGAGTTGCAAAAATGAGATGAATTCCAATAAAATGAACACAATGTATTTCCCCTCCTTGATTAGCCATCACATTGCACCTTCACCTCTCTGTAACTCTCATTGGTTGCTATTAACAGTATTTGCATTTCTAAACCTTACAAGGAAAGGAGAGACCCCATCAAAGAAATGGAAGTATCTATTCGGTGCTTAATGATTGTCCTTAATCTCTGATTTCTTCCATGCTAATCTATCAGAATCAATACTAATAAATAACCTTGTAAATAACCTTGTTATCACCTCATTCACAGGGATAGTTCATCAGTTAAACCAGTGCTAGCTGATGACTGTTCCCCATGTTCTCCCCTTCGCTGCACCACTGAAGATCGCATGACGAATGTATATAAGTGCTCCTAAGTCATGACCTGGTGACATGTGTAATTTTTATCCTAGCCCAGCAGTCTGCATGCTATAGTGCAAACAGATGGTTTCCATTGCTTTTGCTTTATCCCTACAGTTTCTACAACTGGGATAAGAACATCTGCTGCCTGAATTCAAGTCCAAACTACCAAGTGATTGCAGAAAACGTATGTGGCTTACTCTTCAAGAACAAGTCTGACAGGAAGATCATTAATGTGGACCCCAAGGTAGAGACTTTACTTAAGATATTTGTGTCACAGAACTGTAATATCATCTTATCTTGAATATTGGCCAAAGGATAAGGTTCCTCCTCTCAGGAGCGAGTGTGCTGTCTCTTATATTACAGTGGTGCCCCACGTAGCGAGCGCTTCATTTAACGAAGAATCCGCAAAGCGATTGAGTTTTTGCGATTGCTTTTGTGATCGCATAACGATGTTTTAAATGGGAAAACATCACTTTGCGATGATTGGTAAGCTGTTCCACTTACCGATTATCGCATAACGATGTTTTTCTAACAGCTGATTGGCGGTTCCAAAATGGCCGCCGGGTAAAGAAAATGGCCGCCCGCTGTGTTTTTGTGCCCTTTCCTCACTTACCGGGCAGCAAAAATGGCGGCCGCATGGAGGATTTCTGCATAACGGTGAGTTTTTTGCCCATTGGAACGCATTAAATGTGTTTTAATGCGTTCCTATGGGCTTTTTTGCCCTGCATAGTGACTAATCCACATAGCAACGATTTTTTCGGAACGGATTATTGTCGCTATGCGGGGCACCACTGTACTTGCAGACATGATGTTCTTTACATACGATGTCTTGTAAATGCAGGCAAAGTTGATATAGTAATGTTCACCATTGCTCAAACATATGAAGCTGCTGTGTGCCCCTCAGCAGCGGCGTTACCTCTCTACTATTCTGAGGTAAGGCATCACTCTTGACTTGGCCACTGGGCATTCTAGTAAGCTGTCTTACCTGCTGCTAAGATGGATCAAGGCAGCTGACTAATTTTGTTTAGTATTGATTTCTCAGTACTGTCAAATTGTTGTTGTTTAGTCATTAAGTCGTGTCCGACTCTTCATGACCCCATGGACCAGAGCACGCCAGGCCCTCCTGTCTTCCACTGCCTCCCGGAGTTGGGTCAAATTCATGTTGGTAGCTTCGATGACACTGTCCAACCATCTCGTCCTCTGTCGTCCCCTTCTCCTCCTGCCTTCACACTTTCCCAACATTAGGGTCTTTTCCAGGGAGTCTTCTCTTCTCATTAGTACATTTCTCAATACTGCCAAATAGTATGGTCAAATAGGAACCCTGTGTTTCAAAATAAGGCAATCAGGGAGGGAGGGAGGCCTAAATACCTGCCAGCCCTATGTTTGATGAGTTGTGAGATAAAATCTAACAAAGTCATGACTTTTGGGAACTTGTGTATGTTTTTACCCTGTACTATCCACAATATATTGGTTCATGCCCTGATAAAGACTAGCATGGATTGAAAGCTAGGTATTAAAAAACAACAACACCTTTTAAGCGGTCTATTCAAGGAATCACCTGCTCTTGCTCTCAGTTGGTGATGGCTCTTCAAAGTCTCAAATAAATCCTTCCAAGCCCTCCCACCTTATAGTCTTCGTCTGGATGAACAAGCTGCTCCTACGGAACCACCACCACCTCCCTCTGAAACCATGCTGTGGGCCTCATGAGATAAAAATGTCATTGCCTCAATCTGTTTGAATGAGAATTGCAAACCCTGACACTTCTTTCCCTCAGTTTCGTTAAGAAACTATCTAGGGAACTCTCCCCAGGTTCCCTGAGGCATTTCATGATGTAACAGTTTAGCAATCTTCCACAGATGCTGGGAGCACCTGTAGTCACAAAGGCGACAAGCAATGTTTAATGTTTAGAGCAAGAGCAGCCAGTAACCCTTCAGACATTTTGGACGACAACCCCCACAGCCAGTGGTCAAGAATTATGGGAATTGCAATCCAGAATATTTGTGAGGCACCAGATTCCTAATCCCCGGGTTGCAATATATTTGAGACTGCAGGAGCAACCCATTTTAGCTCTTTTCCCCTTGTTATGTTCATCCGAAGTTACACCACTGAATAAAATACTGTATTCATTTATTTAAAACAATGGTTTAGCATATTCAACAAGAACATCTAAAGAAAGAAATAATATTTAGATACTTGGGGAGGGTTATGAAATCAGATGAAGGTATTAATTGTTGCAGATATGTAGTTCTGTTGCTGTGACACAAATGTTCAGAAGCTGGATATCATAATGGTGTTTTTTGACTTAACCAAGGTAAGTAAATCTTATAATTTTGGAGGCATTCAGTTTTTCTTGATACAATTATAACCTTTCTAGTACTGGGCAAACCACTTAAGGTTCTGAAGCGTGTGTAAGCTTGTCATTGACCTTTTTCTTCTTTCACAACATGCGGCATTGGTCTGTAGCAGAAAATTAGGATAGAAAAAAATGGAGGTTCTCAACTAGAGACCTAGAACTTGGAAGATGTGAACGTTAAGATGAGTTTGCAAAGTTTAGACCCACCAAACATTTAAAAAAATGGATTGCACTTGAGTCCCCAATCAAAATGTCTCCCCAGTTTGCATCTTTAAAAATATGAATAAAAATGCATAAAATATGAATCATTTTAAGTGGTAAATGCTTGGAAAAAAGTGCTGTATGTTAGAAACATTCATACAAAACCACCGTCATCCTATTTAACAAAATAATTGTAGGTATAACGGCCATTATGCAACTTGAATTCTACCTCTGGGTAGATTGGGCGGCATAGAAATTAAATAAATAAATAAATAAATAGAATTCACTTCCTGTCCATAATGACTGTGCATTCAGGGAACAAATGGGCATACAAAAGGCAGCTGAAGGAGTTTTTGTGAGCCCCCTGTAACTGAAGAAGTCCCCTAGAAATACCTAGGAGTCCTTTTCAACATGTTTTCGGTTACTGAGCTGTTTTAGGCTCAAGAGAAGCTTGACTTGAAAATAAGTACTCACTTTTTGTTTGAAAATAAAAGATCTCTCATGGACTTAGAACAGTTTAGGTAAAGGTAAAGGTTGCCCTTGAGATTTAATTCAGTTGTGTCCAACTCTAGGGCATGGTGCTTATCCTTGTTTCCAAGCCATAGAGCCAGCATTTTGTCCGTAGACAGTTTCCGTGGTCGCGTGGCCAGCGTGACTAGACACGGAGCACTGGTACCTATTTATCTACTTGCATTTTTACATGCTTTTGAACTGCTAGGTTGGCAGGAGCTGGGACAAGCGATGGGAGCTCGCTCCGTCGCGTGGATTTGATCTTATGATGGCTGGTCTTCTTGCCTTGCTGCACAGAGGCTTCTGCGGTTTAACCCGCAGCACCACTATGTCCCTTTAGAACAGCTTGGGAGCAGCCAAAAATATGTCAGAATTGCCCACTACACGTCCTGAATGATATGGGAGGTAGGGCTAAGCGGGGGCGGGGGGAGACATGCTTTGAAAAATATTTGAAAAGATAATGAAGGGCAGAAACGGTTGAAGGAGCCCACGTGAGGTGCTGTGGGCTGCTGACAGCATACAAGCATACTTAGGCAGTGTGTGGCATAAAGTAACAGATCCATCTTCCTTTTGCAATCAATCCATAAGCACCACTTTTACATCATTGATCAAAGTCATCCAACCATTTAAAGACAAAGGGCCATTCCCCACTTCCTATATTTGGGATCCATCCGTGGCTTAAGATGCCACGGCACAGCTACTTTCAACCATTTTTCTCTTAAATGGAAATGCAGAGGAAATAACTATTCCTCCTTAAGAAGCAAGAACTATACCAGTGTATCTAAATCCAGCTACTGTCAATCTGTCCCTATTATAGAGCATACACTATTTTTCTGCTAAGATTCACTAAGGTATTTTGATTGTTTTGAACATTTTTTTTCTCTCGTAGTTCCCCCCCCCAAAAAAAAATTAATAAGAAGTCTATCTGTTTTCTTTTCTGAGGGGAAAAAATACTGAAAAACTGTTTTTCTCCGTTTATTTTATACTCTCTAATCATACGTCCGCATGACATCTCCCTTACAAATACTGTCCCCTCTGTTTTAAAATCCCTAAGATGATGATCTGAAGACCATGATGCTCTTTGTTAATCCCATGCCTGCAGAAGAACTGTCCTTATTTTTATGGCCAGAATCCTGTTTGGATTTTACTCTGGAGTCATTGATGAGCTGCAGCTAACAAGAGGCCAGCGACAAGCCTCGTTGCATGACTTGGCATGTGATCAGTACCGCATTAATTGCCTGCAATTTGCCACCACAGTTTATGCCATTTCACTTATTCTGGGGTAAGGATTCTGGCCAATATAAACAATATTTCTCAGAAAGTTTAACAGATAACAGCTGTTTTATTTATTTATAGGAAACATTTAGACCCTGCTCTACAGAGGGAAATGCTTATGGGCAACCACTGAAGATAAATGAATCAAATGTCACTGCACTTGGTCCATAATATAAATTCCATATCAAGAGTGGAATATATGGATTTACTTAAATCTCCTTACAGCAATAGAACAATATCACAACTAGGGCTAACATCAGGACCAACAGATGTTTATGGGCCTGAAGGACTTTGAAACAGAAACATGGAGTCAGTAAAGAAGTGACATGATGTTTAGAAAAGTCCGATGTTTGCAGAAGTGAAAGGTTGCCATTTAAGAAAGAAAGCGCTCTATAGTTATTGTGAAATGAAGGCTCCCTTCGAAAACAATTGGAAATTAACTGTTTTTCTCGCTTAAACAAGTGTTAAGGGAACACTTCTGTTTTCAATGGAGAGCAGCGCTTTCTTTCAGTGGTTTGCCACTGAATTTTTGCTGGCAAACCATACGGCTGATGTTCAGCACCAGATCTTTTCAAAAAATTTTAAAAATTTAATTTACTGAGGATCCAGCAGGTGCAGAAAAGGGCTTAATGGACTGCATGTGGCCTGAACTTTGCCTACATACACTCACTTGGGAATGAGTCCCACAAACACATTGGAACTTAATTCTAAATACAATGCATAGGCTTGAACCATCAACCTTATGGTGGTACTACATTATCCTTCATATGGAACACATTAATTGCCAACATTTTTCTTTCATCTAATTAAGGACACACATTAAGCTTGTTTCATAATAATCATACAGCTATGGAACATTCTTAGTGCATGAACCTACTTTATTTTAAATGTCCATATTATCACTT